TTTTTCTAGGATTTTGAGATGAAGTATGAGATCATTTATTTGTTGGTTTTTTCTTTTTTTAAGGAATGAACTCCAAGCAATGAATTTTCCTCTTAGAACTGCTTTCAATGAGTCCCATAGATTCCGATATGTTGTGTCTGTGTTTTCATTAATCTCTAAGAATTTTTTAATTTTTTTTTTTAATTTCCTCCTTGATGTCTTCTATAACCCATTGATCATTCAGTAACCTATTGTTCATTCTCCAAGTGATGTATGCTTTTTCCTTCCTTCTTTTATCGTTGATTTTCAGTTTCATTCCATTATGATCAGATAGGATGCATGGTATTATCTCTACTCCTTTATATTGTCTAAGAGTTGCCCTGTGACATAATATATGATCTATTTTTGAGAAGGATCCATGTGCTGCTGAGAAAAAAAGTGTAACTGCTTGATGTTGGGTGGTATATTCTATATATGTCAATTAAGTCTAGGTTATTAATTGTGTTATTGAGTTCTATAGTTTCCTTATTCAACTTTTGTTTGGAAGATCTGTCCAGTGGCGAGAGAGGTGTGTTGAAGTCTCCCATGATTATTGTATGGTGGTCTATTAGACTCTTGAACTTGAGAAGAGTTTGTTTGATGAACATAGCTGCACCATTGTTTGGGGCATATATATTTATGATTGTTATGTCTTGTTGGTGTATGGTTCCCTTAAGCAGTATGTAGTGTCCCTCTTTATCCCTTTTGATTAACTTTGGATTGAAATCTATTTTATTTGATATGAGTATGGACACTCCTGCTTGTTTCCGAAGTCCATATGAGTGATATGATTTTTCCCAACCTTTCACCTTCAGCCTATGTATGTCTTTTCCTATCAAATGCGTCTCCTGTAGGCAGCATATTGTTGGGTCTTGTTTTGTGATCCATTCTACTAGCCTGTGTCTCTTAATTGGTGAGTTTAAGCCATTAACATTTAGGGTTATTATTGAGATATGGGTTGTTGTTCCAGCCATATTTGTTTATTTATGTTACTAAACATGGTTTGTTTTCCTCTTTGATTATTCCCCCCCCCTTTACTGTCCTACCTCCCACTGTTGGTTTTCATTGTTATTTTCCATTTCCTCTTCCTGTAATGTTTTGCTGAGGATGTTTTGAAGAGATGGTTTTCTAGCTGCATATTCTTTTAACTTTTGTTTGATGTGGAAGGTTTTAATTTCATCTTCCATCCTGAAGCTTAATTTCGCTGGATACACAATTCTTGGTTGGAACCCATTTTCTTTCAGTGTTTGAAATATGTTATTCCAGGATCTTCTAGCTTTCAGAGTCTGTGTTGAAAGATCAGCTGTTATCCTGATTGGCTTACCCCTAAATGTAATCTGCTTCCTTTCTCTTGTAGCTTTTAAAATTCTCTCCTTATTCTGTATGTTGGGCATCTTCATTATAATGTGTCTAGGTGTGGATCTCTTATAATTTTGCACATTCGGCGTCCTGTAGGCTTCTAGAATTTGGGATTCTGTCTCATTCTTCAAGTCTGGGAAGTTTTCTCGTATTATTTCATTGAATAGATTGCTCATTCCTTTGGTATGGAGTTCTATACCTTCCTGTATCCCAATGACTCTTAAGTTTGGTCTCTTAATGTTATCCCATATTTCTTGGATGTTCTGCTCATGGTTTCTTAACAGTCTTGCTGAGCTGTCTATGTTCTTTTCAAGTTGAAATACTTTGTCTTCATTGTCTGATGTTCTATCTTCTAAGTGTTCTACTCTGCTGGTAGTATTCTCCATTGAGTTTTTAAGTTGGTTTGTTGCTTCCTGCATTTCTAGGATTTCTGTTTGTTTGTTTTTTATAACCTCTATCTCCCTGTATAGTTGATCCTTTGCTTCCTGGATTTGTTTGTGTAATTCCTTGTCGAAGTGATCTTTCATTGTCTGATTTTGCTGTCTAATGTCTTCCTTGATACTCCAGATCATCTGAAGCATATATATCCTGAATTCTTTATCTGACATTCCATCTGCTGCAGCTGTTACCTCTTCTAAAGTTGAGTTGACCTGCATTGCTTGTAGTCCTTTCTTTCCTTGTCTTTTCATACTGCTTGCGTTTCTTTCTTCTTGGTGAAACTGTTGTGTTTTTGAAATTTTTTCCCCCCCTATATATTTATATTGCTCTTGTATAGTTGAAAAGTCTCCCTTGCAGGTGCGGGCGGGGGCTCTGCTCTGCCCCTCCTCCAATTAGTGTGAGGTGTCTACCACACCCACGGACCCCTGGGCCTGATCCACCGTTCTGTCGCAGGTCTGCCTACCTTGCAGGTGGGGGCGAAGGCTCTGCCCTGCCCCTCCTACCACGCCCGGGGACCGCTAGGCCTGATCTGCAGGTTGGTCGCCGGTCTGCCCACCTTTCGGGCACGGGTGGCAGTTCCACTCCGCCCCCACTCCAGTTGGGGTCACTTGACCACCACACAGGCGGGCCGCTGGGCCTGATCTGGGCGCGGGCGAAGGCTCTGCTCTGCCCCTACTCCAGTTGGGGTGAAGTGTGTACCACGCTAGCAGGCCGCTGGGCCTGATCCGCCGGTCTGTTGCAGGTCTGCTTACCTTGCCGGCACGGGCGGCGGCTCTGCCCTGCCCCTCCTACAACGCCCACAGACCGCTGGGCCTGATCTGCAGGTTGGTCGCAGGTCTGCCTACCTTGCGGGCGTGGGCGGCGGCCCCGCTCCTCCCCTCTGGCTCGACGACAAAGCGAGTGAGACCCGGGTATCTGTGACTCACCCTCCCTACCAGGAGACCAACTGTTTCCGTCGCCGCTGGCACCGATGAAGTTCTCTCCTCGGCCGCTCTCCAATGACATCAGATCTCTGCCATGCTGGCATCCCCTGTTCTATGGCTGAATCCCATTTTCTTCTCTTCCAATAGGCGGAGCTGTGCCCTCTGAGCCGAGCTTCTGCCCTCTATGTGCTGACAGAAATCCCTGTAAGGTGGCTCCTGGGAGTCTCTCAATCCTGTTAGTCCAGAGCCCTTTCACTTATCCGGCCCCTCCCCCTGTTCCTCCTCCCAGCCAGCCAGCCAGGTCCTGTTCACCGGAGGCAGTTCCCCAAGGATCTGATTACACTTGCAGCCCCACCGCGTGTCCTATATCCCGAACGATGAACACCCTCTCTGTCATTCATCTAAGCCCCAGTGCTGTGGTGGGGTGATCTGGGAACCAACAGTTTAATTTTTCCGGACCCCTTTGGTGGGCACGCCCCCAGAAACTGGCGGCTAAGATCTTGGGTGTTGCCGCTGGTGTTAAGGGGAGGTGGGGATCTGGAATCCCCTCTGCTTCCCTATAGACACGCCCCCGGAGGGATTCCCGAGGTTTCCTGGCTGCTTGTATCTGGAGGGGGTGGGAGTCACACACCTGCTAACGTGGATTCCGCTGGGAAGGAATTCTGTCAGCGGAACTCTGGTGATGTCACCTCTCTGCTATGGTGGGCCCCAGGCTCCTTGCCGGAGTGTCCGAAGGGAGGGGTGGGACTGGTCTGTCTCTGGTTGGTTTTAGCTCCCGGTTCGCTATTTCATGAAGGCTTGGCGAGAGACCTCTTCCTAGAGACCCTGCACCGCTCCTGCTGTGCTGCGCCTCGGAGGCTATCCGCCCTGACGCGGGGGCCGCGTGCAGGCAGCCGACAGTCGCCGAGTCGCGCGGGCAGCGGCTGGCGGGTCTGGACCTCTGCGCTGCGTGGCGGAGATTCACTCGTCTAGCGCAAACTGTCACCTCCAAAAATCCTACCAATTCCCGGCCGGTCTCTCTTTAGTGGAATTTTGCTAGGAGTTTCTCAGCAGGTCGAATCTAAGCGTATCCATGCGTCTCTCTGACCCCGTTGTTGAGGAGGTACTGAAAGCGCTGCCTCCCCACTCGCCGCCATGTTGGATCTCCTTTATTTTATTTTATTTTTTTTAGTTTTAGATGGACACAGTATCTTTGTTTTATTTTTATGTGGTGCTGAGGATGGAACCCAGTGCCTTCCACACATGAGACAAGCAGTCCACCACTGAGCCACAACCCCAGCCCAATAGTTCATCCTTTTTATGGCTAAATAATATTACATTGTATATGGAGATACCACATTTTGTTTATTCATTCACCAGTTAATGGAAATTTCAGCTGTTTCCACTTTCTGGTTATTATGAATAATGCTGGTATGAACATTTGTGTGCAACGTTTTTATGTAGACATGTTTTCATTTGTCTTGGGCATATACCTAGGAGTTGAATTTCTGGTTCAAATTCTGACTCAGTGTTTTTAAGTTTTTTCTGATGACTCTGCCATGTTACTTCCCTCCTGCAGTGTGGGAGAGTTCCCATTTCTCCATGCCCTCACCAATACTTATCTGACTTTTTTATTACAGCGCTCCTAGTGAGGATGACAATATGTCATCGTGGTTTTAACTTTCATTTCCCTAATAACTAATGATGGTAAACATCTTTACGTGTGTTGATAGACATGTGTGTGTTTCTTGCAGAATTGTCTATTCAGATCTTTTGCCCAATTTTTTCATTTGGGTTACTTGTCTGATTATTGTAAAACAGAGATGCTTTGTGCACGGGTGTGTGTGTGTGTGTGTGTGTGTGTGTTGCTGGGATTGATCCCAGAGTGTGTGTGTGTGTGTGTGTGTATATATATATATATGTTGTAATTGGACACAATACCTTTATTTTATTTATTTTTATGTAATGCTGAGGATCAAACTCAGGGCCTCACAGGTGCTAAGCGAGAACTCTACTATTGAGCCACAACCCCAGCCCCAAGATGCTTCTTAATATTAATTTGTATTTAGGGGCTGGGGTTGTGGCTCAGCAGTATAGCACTCACCTAGCATATGCAAGGCCCTGGGTTCAATCCTCAGTACCACATAAAAATAAATAAATAAAATAAAGGTATTGTGTCCAATTACAACTAAAAAATAAATATTTTAAAAATATTAATTTGTATTTATATTGCCACCAAAGAGTGCTAGACATCATTTAACAGCAAACCTTATTTTTCTACAGGTACTGAAGATCTTTTTTAAAAGTTGTCAATGAGAGCTACAGTCGACTGGAATATCAAAAAGCAAAGCACTTTCAGTACTGGTCATCATGCGTAAAGGGGTACCAAAGGACCCAGAGATTGCTGATCTGTTCTACAAGGATGATCCTGAAGAACTTTTTATTGGTTTGCATGAAATTGGACATGGAAGTTTTGGAGCAGTTTATTTTGTAAGTAATTTTAAAACATATCATTTAGAAAAATCAGATTTAAAAAGTTGGAATTCTACATATTCTCCACACATACAGCTATTACTTAAAAAATATCCTTGATTTTTTTCAAATTAAATGATGTCTGCTGTCATTTATGGTCATCGTGGAAAAGCTAGTTCCAGAATTTGAGGCCTTCTTCAAGGCAGTGGTGGTACAAGGGAGTTGGAAGCTTGAAGTTGAGCCCTGTGTGGTTCCTCAGCATGCCATGCTCTTTCTGCCTCAGGACCTCTGCACATTCTACCCGGCTCATGCAGGAGACTTCACATTTTATCCCCATCCCCCTCCAGTCCCTGTGCATCCCACGGGTTTCAGCTTCTACAAGACAGCATTTATTCTTCTGTCCACCAAATAATCAGGGCTTTTGCTTATGATCTCCTAACTGTGTTTGTATTTCATTGAATATATCACAGTTGTAATTTTATAATGGTGTATAAGATTTTATTCATAACTGTTCCTTCTAAATAATATGCATCATGAGAACAGGGGTTATGTCTGTTTCATTCTTTGTTACACTCCCAGGAACTAATATTTTTTGAGACAAAGTAGGAATTCAATATACACTGGATGGATGGATGGATGGGGTGGGTGGGTGAGAGAGTGGGTGGATAAAGAATCAGAAATGGGGGCTGGGGTTGTGGCTCGGTGGTAGAGCCCCTGCCTGGTATGTGTGAAGCAATGGGTTCCATCCTCAGCACTACATAAAAATAAATAAATAAAAGTATTGTGTCCAACTACAACCAGATAAATAAATAATAAAAAAGGGTCGTAAATGGATAAATGAATGAACAGACAGCTATTCAGAGAAATGGATAAAGGCTTGTTGGTGACAGTCGTGTCAACATGTTAAGTTGGTATTTTAGTTGAAAAGGTACAAAGGTGTCCCCAGTTACATTCCAAGGATGTGACTGTCTCCTGATAATAAAAATGAGAAATATATCAAGAACTATGTAATGTTTTGAACAACCAACAATAAAAAATAAAAAAAAATGAGAAATAACTGATATGTTAGGGCAGCTCATTTGCCTGAAATTCATTAATTCATTATATAAAATATATTTCTTTAATTAGATAACCTTAGAAGTTTGCTTCATCAAAGTCATGAATGTTTCCTTCAAAGTATTAATCTATTAAAGCAAATAACAAATCAAGTACTGATTACTACCCATTTCTTTTCCAATGCTTTTGTCAAATAACTTCTTAAAATCGAGCAGTATTTGACCATTCCTTTTTAGTGGTCCTTCTTTACGTTCTTCTGGTTGGGTGGATTATCATCAGGTGCTTATCATTCCTTCTAGATGAGAATTTATGAACTGCGTGTTCCACTCTTTCCTTTGCTCTAGCTGACTCTTCAGGCCGAGTTTTCCCTGAGCTCTTCCTCCTTCCCTGGGTCTGCACTCAGCATCACGTTCCTTCTCCTCCTTTGTCCTTCTAGATTCAGCCCCTGTTCAAGTATGTCATCAGGAACTGACTTTCCATGACTGAACAGGGTGATACTTTTCTACTTAAGACTCCCTCATTAGTCTTTGATCTTAAAATAACATTGAAGACCCAGTTAAAGTCCTATCTTCTTTATTCACGTAGATACTTTTTTAAAGGCATTTTTAATTATAAACATATCATACATAAATCAGTGTGCATAATACACGCACATATATTTCGATATATAATTTAATGAATAATTAAAAGGTAGGGGCTGGGGTTGTGGCTCAGCAGTAGAGCACTCGCAGAGCACGTGGGAGGTTCTGGGTTCCATCCTCAGCATCACATAAAAATAAACAAATAAAATAAAAGGTATTTGTGTCCAACAAAAACTAAAAAGAAAATATATTTCAAAAAAACGGTCAATCTCAGCCGGGCGTGGTGATGTACACTGCCGTCCAAGCAACTTGAGAGACTGAGACAAGAGGATTGAAAGTTCAAGGCCAGCCTCAGCAGCCCAGCAATTTAGCCAGACCCTGTCTCAAAATAAAAAATAAAAAGAAATGGGAGTGTAGCTCAATGGCAGATCTCCTCTGGGATCAGTCTCAAGTTCTGGGTGTGGGGTGGGAGGGGAGGTAAATCTCTGTGTAAATACCCCAGGGTTAAGAAATAGAATACCACTGCACCCCAGAAGCCCCTTGTGTCCATCTAAAACACATGTTTAACCCACTTACTTTTGTACCTCTAAACAGTGCAATTTGGTTTTGCCTAGTTTTGAACACTTTCAAAATGGAAGCATTCTGTATGTATTCATTTGTGACCTGTTTATCTCATCCAGAGATTATATTCTTTGGTCATCTTTTCCTACTTTCCTTTTGTTTACTTGATAATAAGTTCATCCTCCCTGAATCTCTCTCAACCAGAGTCACAAAGTGGTCCCAATCTGGTTTGACTCTTTTCTATTTATTTGTATGTGGTGCTGAGGACTGAACCCTGTGCCTCACACATGCTAGGCAAGCATTCTACCACTGACCCACCTCCCCAGCCCGGTATTTGACTCTTTTATTTTAAAAAGCAGCCAGACCTTTCTCAAAGTTTTAATATTTCAGAATGATAACAACAACCCAAGCCTGTTTTGAGGCTCACTAACAAGCCACTTATAATAGGGGCAAACTGAGCCTTACCTTGCAGAGGACCCAGTGACTAAGTCTGTTAACAGTAGGTACCAACTATGTGTTATGTGTTGCTAATGATAGGAGAACTTAGGAAGATGCTTGGGAGCTTTGACATGGAAATGTAATCATTAAGTCTGTATGCCTATATTCAAGTGAACAGTCCAGGCCCATATAAACCCATAAGGCATTAAAAAACAGATTGGAAGGGAATTAATGACACTTCGTATAAAACCTACAAAAAGCCACTTTAACATTTTATCTATAGTGAACACAGAAAGAGACCCCTTAAAATGAATTTTTCCCACTTGCTGCAGTAGTATTTATGTGTTATTCATACCACTGTACTCAAGATTGGCTAGTACCTTACATGGACTACCGCAGGAGCTCACGTTGGTCTCTCTCCACCTCAACTCAGTAAACTTAAAAAAAAAAAAATGTAAATCTGATCACTTTCCCCTGCAGGCCTGCAGGGCTCTCCCTTTTTCTTAGGCTAAGACCAAAATTCCACCATGGCCAGCCTGTAAGGTCCTTCTCTATGGTCCTGCTTTCTGCTCTTCTCATTGCTCTAGTTGGCTGATTGCATTGATTGGATCATCCATCCTGGGATTCTGCATAAGCTTTTCTCTCTGGAATGTTTTCCCAACCATTTGCAGCTTCTTGTCTCTTATATGCCCTTCCTCTTTCTTCCACACTGAGCTTAAACACTATGTCTTCAGGGAAGGCTTTCCTGACCTCCCTAAGTCATGTCCTCTAGTTTGGGATCTCAGAAGAGCACATACCTTACTTTACAGCATGTCACAACTGCAGTTTTATATTTGTTTGTTATAATTTTATTTTATTTATTTTTTATTGCCTATCCTACCAGAGGAAAGATAGGTACCCCTGGGTGTATGTACTCCCAATTATTTTTCGGGGGGGGGGGGCCTGTAATCAGGGATTGAACTCAATGACACTCGACCACTAAGCCACATCCCCAGCCCTATTTTGTATTTTGTTTCGAGAGGGTCTCACTGAGTTGCTTAGCACCTCGCTTTTGCTAAGGCTGATCTTGAACTTGTGATCCTCCTGCCTCAGCCTCCCGAGCAGCTGGGATTATAGGCGTGCACCTGGCATTTACTCCCAATTCTATCCCTAGAATTTAGCCCAATACCTGACACATTGTGAATACCTAATAAGTACTTGTTGAATGAATGAATGATGGAGAACTTGGCATGGCTAACTGGTGCTTTTCTTGGATCATAGCCATTCTAGCAAGTCTAGCAACCAATGGTTTTGTACCTAATACTACAATTCTGGTAGATTCTTTGTAGTTTGCAACTTCACACAGAATGATGCCAGCTCTTGCAGAACCAATCAGCTGACAGTATATGGTATACTTAGAAAACAGAAAGTGGTCACTTGCTAAAATATCTGTGTGTGTTTGGATTTACATAGTTAATTCGCAACTTAGCATTAGCAACAAGATAGTAAGAAACTTTAAAGAAAAACAAAAAAGGGTTGAGTATGTTCATTTTTTTATTCAGTTGAACACACTGTAAATTTTGTGGGTTTCTTGGGCTCCTTTGTGAGACTCAGCATATCATCCATAATATACCTAGAGCAAATACTTAGGTCTTTTTATCTGGGCATAGTTGCCTTTCGGTTTTAGCAGATGCTCAATAAAGAGGGCAAAAAGAAAATAGCAAAAAGTCATGGCTGGGGAACAGTTAAAATATAAACACATAGTAAGAAAAGAAAATGATCATGAGTTTTCTCTACAGTTGTGAATTCCAGTCTTTTACCTATGAGCCCTGCTATAACTTTATTGGTCCACAGTAATAAGTCATGCAAAGTAGCTTATTTACATCAGGGATATGGCCCTGAAGCAGAGCCCTGTTTTTAGAAGAAAGCCCAAATTACAAAATCTTTTAATGGCTTATTTTTCTGAAAATTTTAAGAAATTTAATTTTAAATCTCTTACATAAATTGAGAGGAAAAGACTATCAGGTGAGGCTTCTATGTGTACTTTAAATGAACTTGTGTCTCTAGTATGATGAAGACAAATAGAGAGAATTATGAGACAAGACAACTTTCACAGATAGAAAAACTGCACACATAGGCATACATAAATGTGTGTATGTAATACATTCTTAACACAAATCATAAGTAATCCTTCAGGTGAAAGTCAGTCTTGGGATTAATCTTGCCTTCTGGTACACTGTTAAATATAGTAGTCACTAGGCACATGTAGCTATTTAAATTTAAGTTAATTAAAATTAAATAAAATTTAAAATTGATTTCTTCAATTACACTAGACACATTTTTTAAATGTTTTTTTTTTTTAGTTGTCAGTGGACCTTTATTTTATTTATTTGTATACAGGGCTGAGAATCGATCCCAGTGCCTCACGTGTTCTAGGCAAGCACTCTACCACTGAGCCCCAGCCCTTGATATGCATTCTTCCATAATTATTTTCTACATGTAACACTACTGACACTCTTAGTATTTTGCAAAAATAGGATTATAGTGTACATTTATTTTTTTTGTCATGACAATTTTTACATCTTTCCATATTAACACATCCTCATTCTTCAATGATTGTTTCATTATGTAACCACACTGTGTTTATTGAACTGGTTCTCCATTGATGGATATTCTACAAAGTGAAGCCAATATAGACATTTTGGAAAATAGCCTTATTGTTTACTTGTTTCTGTGTGTGTGTGTGTGTGTGTAAAGAGAAGCTGTTCCTTAAAGTTGGGGTGGAAACATCTGTCTGGCCTATCAAATGTTGGAGCATCTTGGAATGGTGATACTCAAGTGTGAGCATAATATTTTGAAAGTCTCAAGTCAAAGAATTAAACCAACTGAAACGCAGTTATTTCTTTTTATTTTCCTCTCCCCTGTTAACACAGGCCACAAATGCTCATACCAACGAGGTGGTGGCGGTTAAGAAAATGTCCTATAGTGGGAAACAGACACATGAGGTAAGATGAGACAGTTGAATGCCTACACATACTTATAGGAAATAAGTATGAAGTTAACAAAATGATAAGTTCTGGTGTTCTGTGCACAGTAGGGTTACTATAGTTCACAAGGTTGTAGTGTGTATTTCAAAATAACTAGAAAAAAAGATTCTGGATGTTTTCATCATTAAGAGATGGTAAATGTTTGAGATAATGGGTATGCTAGATACCGTGATTGGACAATTACATTTTGTATATATGTATCAAAACATAACACTGTATTCCATAAATGCATGCAATGATTATATGTCAAATATTTGAAAAAATAAGGCTTACAGAAAAGAAAAGTAAATAAAATTCTCTAAACATTTACCTCCATTCTTTTTCCCCTCTCCTGCTTATGGAGTAAATAATAAAAGTTTCTAATATTCCAGATCAATCAACTATTATCAGAAATAGAACACAGGTGTGTGTAATGGCTTCATTATAATGTCCTCAACAATAGATTTATATTTACACATACTCAAACTGGAGGAATAACACAAGCTTAAATAGCTTCTTTGTTTGTTTAACATTTACCTTATATCCATTTCAAATAATAAAAATAATATTATATATGTATACTTGATAATAAAATACTATTTTCAGCTTCCAAATCAAAATATTTCTTTTCTGACTTCAATAGAAATGGCAAGATATTCTTAAAGAAGTTAAATTTTTACGACAATTGAAGCATCCTAATACCATTGAGTACAAAGGTTGTTATTTGAAAGAGCACACTGCTTGGGTAAGCCAGTCTCTGTTATCTTCCTTTTTTCTGTTAAATTTTCTCTATTATTTATTTGAACTGTACAATTCTCATTCCCATCTCTGTCCCTTAGACTTTTGTTAACACTTTAGAGTGTGTCATGGTATAACTCTCGTGAGATTAAATATGATCACCAGCCTTTTAGAAGTTTCAGTCTGTACACTCCACAGAGAGATGGGGAAAGTGGACCTCATCTTATAAAGAGGGATTTGTAAAGACAAAATGCAAGGGCTTGCACTCTCATCCTGAACCTTCATCACTGCCATTTCTCATCCCCTACCCCACCTCACCGCAGAACTGGAACTGTGTTTGCCATTGCCGTGACTGAAATGTTTCCTGAACAGAACCTACCATCTGATTAAAGCGAAACTGTCTCTTGTTCCACTCCATCCTCGTGTGTCTTGATATGACTGTATTTCTGTTTTTAAGGCACATTAGGCACCATTTAGAACATGAAAATGCTAAATGTGCTACTTTGTCAGATGGCACATTCTCCCTCAAAGTCCAATTTAACTGTCATTTATTGAGTGCTTACCATGTACTGAGTTCTTTCCTGTACATGGTCGCTAATTAAGGATTGGAATCTTGGTGCCCAAGCAGTATACTAAAACATTTCTGTTCAAGCAATCTGTAAGATATCTAGGGCTATCATTCCCATGCTGAGCAGAAGAAATTAACCAAAGGAGCGTCTTCTTATCTGGAAATCAGTTTTTCTCTGGCAACCTCAGCAGACTTGAAGGAGTCTAGAAACAGATTTAAATCAGGTGGAATAAATGTTACAAAATCCAAGTTTGAAATCTTCAGAAAAAATCCTCTAAGCTCTCATTCAAAACCTGTTTACTCTTAGATTATATAGAGTGCTAATAAGTTTGGTTACCTGATTTCTGTCTACAACTGATTGAATGAGCTAATTAAAAGGTGCTTTTAGGGCCAGGTATAGTGGCTCACGTCTGTAATCCTGGAGACTTGGGAGGGTGAGACAGGAGGCAAAATCAAGGCCAGCCTGGGTAGCTTAGCAAGACCCTATCTCAAAATTTAAAATAAAAGGCCTGGGATGTGGGAAGGCCTTCAGGTCAATCCCCAGTAATCAAATAATAATAATAATAAATTTTACAAAAAGTCCTCTTAGGAACTGAGCTGCTAGAAACATACATACAAACAGACATAAAAATAATTTGCCCATAAAGAAGAAGTCAGGGAAGCTAGAAAGTAGCCCTAATAACGTAAGGCTGAGCAGCTACAGCTGCCTCCTATAAGGAGCGCACATCCATGTCCCGTGCCCCTGTGTTACGGAATAAGAGGGAAGCAAATATTTGTGAAAAAGGCTCAGGTTTTTAAAATAGAATTTAAAAAATATAAACACTAAACCTATTTATTCATTCCATTCAGTTTTAAAGTTGTATAGATTGTACTTGACATACAATGGTTTGACTTCAGACTTTTTGACTTTACAATAGCGCAAAACCAATACACAGTCAGTAGAAACTGCACTCTGAATTTTGAATTTTTATCTTTTCCCAGGGTAAGTAATATGCAATATAATCCTTTTTCATGATGCAGGGCAATGGCAGCAAGCTGCATCTCCTGTCAGCCTCATGATCACAGGGCAAACAACTAGTACTGTGTAGTATAGTAGTCTCCTCTGATCCATGGGGAATATGTTTCAAAACCCCCAGTAGAGCCTGAAACCACAGATGGTATTGCAGTGTTTCCTGTCTCTCTGAATTGAAGGAATCTGGAAAGAGATTTCGATCAGGCAGAGTAAATGTTTAATTTATAAATTAGTTTGAATTCATAAGCTAGGCACAATAAGAGATTAACAACAATAACTAATAAATAAAGCAATTGCAAAAGTATATGCAGCAGGACATAGTAGCTCACGCCTGTAATCTCAGCAGCTCTGGAGGCTGAGACAGGAGGATCACCAGTTCAAAGCCAGCCTCAGCAAAATCGAAGTGCTAAGCAACTCAGTGAGACCCTGTCTCTAAATAAAATACAAAATAGGACTGGGATATGGCTCAGTGGTCGAGTACCCTGAGTTCAGTCCCCAGTACCAAAAAAAAAAAAAAAAAAGTATATTGCTATAAAATTGCCAGCATCGCCACTTATACTTTAGGATTCATTATTAAGTAAAATAGAATTAATTGGAGGAAAAAGAGAATTACTTGAATACAAGCACTGTGATATTGTGATAGTTGATCTGATAAGCAAGATGGCTACTAAGTGACTAATGATTGGGTAGTATGCACAGTATGATACTCTGACCAAAGGGATGATTTACTTCCAGAGAGAGCCATACAATGAGATATTTCATCATGTATTCAGAATGATGCACAATTTTAAACTGATAAATTGTTTAATTTTAGAATTTTCCATTTAGTATTTTTGGAACACAGTTGACTGTGGGTAACTGGAACAGCAGGAATCAAATTTGTGGATAAAGGGAGACTACAGTACTGTATTGCTAAGCTATAGTGTTCAGTAAATGGGTGTATTAAATGCATTTTTGACTTATGATATTTTCAACTTATATTGGGCTTATCAGGACATGACCCTCTTATAAGTCAAGGAGTACTAGTATTCCTTTTTTGCATATTCAATTTAAGGAAGTTGTGTATGCCCATCCAGTTATTCAGTTTAAAAAAAAACTAGAAAATTATGTGGTACAATTTTTTAAAAAATTTCCATCAAAGATGGCTAAAGGGGAAAAAATAGACACATAGAAGGATAATGTTCATTATAATATTATGTGGAATCTTTCATTTCTCAATAAGAAATAAAACAAATGTTTCTGAATCTAGTATGTCAAGCAGAAAACCACAATCAAGTTTCTAAACTTCTTGTAAAATTCTAAATTATCACAGTAATGCAAGTTAGATCATATATAAATATGTTTTCACATTACTTTGTTTAAAAATGAAAAGAACCAGAAGTTGATATTGGTTATATCTAGTTGATGATAGGAAATTTATATTTCATAATGAGCTTGTGCTGGTTTTTAAAATAACAAAATGTTAATTAGTAGGAGTGTGTATGCTTGCACGTATATGTGTGGAGATGGTCCCTGAGCATTCATAGTTTTGACCTTGGCTACAGATCAGCAATCTAGGACACCTAAAATATCTAAAAGAATAAAACAATGTTTCTTCATTTTTGAGTTAAAAAACTCTCCCAAGATTGTCAAGAAATATCAGGAGTATTTTAATAGAAATGTCTCCAGATACAAATTAAGATATCCCATATCTCTCTGGGATTCCAGATAATGACACAGCAGGCTACATCTCTCCCCCACCCCCAGGTGCTGGGGATCAAACCCAGGGCCTCACACATGCCAGGCAAGCACTCCACCCGTGAGCTCCACCCAAGATCTGTTTCTCATTTAGAACTTCTTAAAACATGAAAATAAGGAGTCCCTACTTACTGGTTTGGGGAGGTTGTTTGGTTTGTTTTGGTGCTGAGCATTGAATCCAGGTCCTTGCATATGGTTTATTTTAGCTACTATTTCTCAATATAAATTTTACTGGCTCATGTATTTTTTATACTCTCTAAGTTACAAATTTTAATTTATAATGCAACGTAACCACTTTGAATTCTTTTAAAAATAAGGTGATGTGGAAATTGGTAAGTAAAATAAATTGGCAATCTCAGCTTCACCATTGACAAGGAATATTTCCATATCCAGCCCCCTCTATTAGGCCAATGCAAGTTAAGTAGTAACAAAAACTGAGATGTTGAAAACAGTGAAAATCAATTCATGTCAGACAACCAAAATAATACAGGTTCAGGTGAGTCAGAATATTTATTCTCCTAATATTCTGAGTTCCTTGGTCGGTTGGTTGGTTGGTTGGTTTCAGAAATTACTCATTAACCCTTATTGTTCTGACTGGTTTTTTTTTTTTTAAATCTATTACAGTTGGTGATGGAATATTGCTTAGGCTCAGCATCTGATTTGTTAGAAGGTGAGAATAAAAGCACTAGACCCTCCTCTGTTTCACCTCGGGCAGAATGTTATCTACCCCTACATTTGAGTGCAGTTTGTGTAATCTGATTAGAGAGTGACTTGGACCAAAGGGTTGTGTGGATAAGCTATGCAAACTTCATCTCTGCAGCATCACGGAAGGTGTCTTGAGGGAGGATAGCAGCTTCCCTACTGTTTCTTTCAGGGCCCATCCAGGGAAGGTACCACTTAACGTGATGCGGTATATGTAGCTGGAAACATCAAATTTCTCTCTATGTATCAAATTCTATTTATGTTTAACCCTTTCCAATATTGTGTTTGACCCAATTCTCCTCTAGAAATGCTATTATAACCAGAGGCTATGTTAAAAATATACATTAAAAAATGTCTTATATCATCCTTTATCTCTGAATATAAATTGCTTATTAACTGCTTTCACAAATAATGAAAATCTGTAGTTGGAGGGAGTAATTATAGATGGCTTTGTGGCAGAGGAGAATAATATGACCTGGAACATTCCAGGCATTTAAAGTGTCAGAAGGGACTGATAAATTTGAGCCTGGGCAGTTGGAATCAGTGTGGCATTGACTTGCCACTGACAAGTTAATTAACAACACGTCACTTAATGAATATCAGGCTTTGTTTGTTTTATTTGGTTTTGAAGGGTTTTTTTTGTTTGTTTTGTTTTGTTTTTATATACTTAGTTTTCCTGTTACCTGATCATTCACGGCTTTCCTTTAGAAAATATATACATCTTCTCTATTTAGGTAAATGCGTTCCCAAATTGTCATTTGGGAAAGTAGATAATTCAGTCTGATACAGCTGTGTAAGATGATGAAAAGAGCGGTAAGACTGGTCATTACTCCTGACCTTTTTTTTCCCTCCTTCCTCAGTTCATAAGAAACCACTTCAGGAAGTAGAGATCGCTGCCATTACTCACGGTGCCTTACAGGGACTAGCCTACCTACATTCTCATGCATTGATTCATAGGTAAGATTAGATAACATTTCCGTTTTCATTTCAGTTACAGGGTTCTCTGTCTGTTCCAGGAACCTTGAAAATTAGTGCATTCTCCAATTTTTAGGGTGGCTAAGGATTTATAGGAAGCAAAGAATTTGCTGCTTTTCTGGATAAAGGAGGAAGATTGCCAGAATTTAGCTCCTACCACCTGATCTCTCCGGTATAGCCACACTTCTGTCACCTCTGCTCTGTAGGGAGCTGTCCTCCAGGCTGAGTGTTACAGGGAAATTTGATGAAGGACCCAGTGACCTTTGGATACTGTGTCAAGAAGAAAAGAAAATTAACCTTCCTGGCATATATTTATTTCTTAGCTGAGTTCCTTCTTTCTGCCTTTCCTATTGTAAATGGCAAATTACTCGTACATAAATAGATATTAAAATGTTTTTCATTTCTATAGTCCATATAGATATGAACTCCAAAAAGTATAATCTTTATTTCAATAGAGGCAGAGATGGGGGCTCAGAAAGATTTCAATAACATTTAGATAATAAAATAAGATAATAAAATAAGGACTGAAATTCAAATTTCTTAACTCCTAATGCAATCATCCAGGGCTTCTATTTTATATTCCCTTTCTTTCTTCTTCTTCTTTTCTTTCTCCCCCTGTGCTAGGGATTGAACAGAAACCTCATGCATGCTAAGCAAGTGTTCTACACTCACCTATACCCAGCCCCTATCTTATATTTTCTGCACCATAACCCTACTCTTCTCTCTACTAACCGCTCCTAAAGAGTGATGTTGTTCCCAAACTTTCCTTCCTTCAGTAAAGAGCTTCTGGCAGTTACTTTACTGAATAGTGGAAGTAGTGGAACAGTCAGTAGATATAAAGGATCTGACTTGGCTCACAGACAAAGGAAACACTTGGCATTTACTAGGAAGAAGTGAAACTATTAGGTCATAGTTCCCCCTTTTGCTTCTGTTTCAGTCCCCCTACGGGAGCCATCATCAGTTACTAGCTGGTTTATTTATAAAGATGAAGTATCATGGGCTCAGGGTGTAGCTCAGTGGCAGATAACTTCCCTAGCATGTGTGAGGACTGGGTTCCATCCCAGCCCTATGGAAGGAAGGAAGGAAGGAATGAATGAATGAATGAATGAATAAATAAATAAATAAATAAGAAGAATTAATCTAATCGTGGCTGATAAATATTGATTAAGTACATTTACCATGATATCTACGGAGTTGACAACTTTTCTTTCAAATGTATTTCTTTGGTACTAAGATGTTATTACTGAATGTTGACGTACTTATAACAATTTTGCTGCTTTTATTGAAATCTAAAGTTCAGCTTTTTGGGTGTCATTATTACCTTAAATCTGCACATTGTTTTACTGGTTTATTCTGTATAATACATTATCTTCTTTAGTTTGTAAAAGAAGTTGAAAAGACAAAACAATTGAAAAATGTGCTTTAAATTTTTAAATGAAGACCATATCTCAGATTTTTGTTACTAAAGAGAAATAAATGATGCTTTTTTTTTTTTTTAATTCTCTTTGCCAATGCCTAAAGTCATCATGAGGAAGGTAACTGAATTAACAAGGAAAGTTTTTATAAAAGTTGTTTTGGAAGCATTCAAACCTGATCATTTTCAACTTGACATAGTTCCTCATTTTCTGTTTTATCTTTCCATGGCCCATCAACATACAACTCTTAGTTGCTAGTACCCATTACACCTCATGTCTTAAAAAAAAAAAAAAAAAAAAAGAATGAGTACATCCACATCTTCTCATTCTAAATTATCATACTGATGAATTAATTTTTAAATCATATTTTTAAAACATTTTGCTGCATAAAACATCTGATATCCTTAGTAATGACCACTTGAGACTCATTGTAGTAATACAAGAGAAATGCAGTTTCCTAACCCCTAATCCTTGTTTGTTTTGATCTTTCAGGGTCTTCTTTTTACTGTATGGTGTTACTTTAAAATAACACCTTCTATATAACATGTACCCTCAAATGCCTTAGAGTGGCAGTTACACTTAAAAGCAAAGAGAAAGGGTCACAGGCAAGAAAGAAAAGGTATGTGTGTAGTTGAGGACTATTGGTCAGGTAGTCAACACAGAGTCATCACAGTTTTATTTAGGTTCCAAAAATGTCATGGAACTTGGGAGAGAGAAAAAAAAGGCAATTCCACATTTCACCAATCTTCCCAGCACAGGGAATACTGCCGGTTACAGGATTTAGCATTTAAGAATATGCCTTTATAAGTACAGCACCTGGTGAGATTTCCTTGTGTGCCACCTCTGCCTTTTTCCTCACTGTGCCCCCTCCCTCTGAAGAAATCCTCACCTTTAAGTAATGACTATAACCTGCCCATAAGTACACCCAGGAATCTGGGCCCCTTAGAACATGTGGTTCTTCCTAAATCCCTTTCTGTCTAAGTTTTTTTTTTTTTAACAAAGTTTTTGCCTTATTAATTGCATGTTCTGACCTATTCCATAATCAAAATTGAAAAGTAATTTTCTAACCCTATTATTTTTTTCCTATAGGGATATTAAAGCAGGAAATATTCTCCTAACAGAGCCAGGTCAGGTGAAATTAGCTGATTTTGGATCAGCCTCAATAGCTTCTCCTGCCAACTCCTTCGTGGGCACACCTTACTGGTATGTAAGTTAGCAAATATGACATTGTTTTCCCTGGCATTGGTTTGGAGGTTGTTTGTTTTTATTTTTGAGATAGGGTCTCCCTCAGTTGCCAAGCCTGATGTTTAACTTGTAATTCTCCTGCCTCAGCCTCCCAAATAGCTGGGATGACAGGTGCCAGCAGGCCTAGTAATGTTTTGTTTTTTGACAGTGTCTTAGCAGTGTACCCCAAAGGGAAATTTTGTTTGAAAAGATTAGAATTACTCAGTAGCAGAAAGAAAGAAACAAACAAACAAACTCACTCTCTCAGTATAAAAATCATTTTAAATTGTTCCAATGTGGCTGATGTCACTGTGTGTAAACTGAGCCAGACTATCAACACATCCACCAAGCTCAGGTTTTCTATTTCATTTGAGGTTTATTTGAACTTTTCTCTTGAACTAGTTTTCAGGTAAGGACAAGAGGACTTCTTTAGGCTTATCTGGCTAACAGCAAGCGTAAGTGATACTTTCTGATGAAAGAAATCTCAGTTCTGGTCTTTGTTGAGTTCTCTGATGCTTCACCTAGTATGGCATTCCCACTCCAAGTTTTTCATCCTATTCCCTTTTAGATTCCTTTATTTTCTTTCATAGACACATTGGAATTTCATTATATTTTGCAGAATGACTTATATCCCTGCAAAATTACTTACCTACTAAAAAAATCAGTTGCCATTTAGATTTTTCCCCTCATAATCAGATAGCATTTACTAAGCAAATGTTTATACATAGTAATAGAACACAGTACTGCTCAAAGCAAACCCAACCTGATATAACCCCTGCCCTGCTAATGAAAATGTATTAAGGACAAGCCTGTGAGGTGACATCCATTACCATAACCTATTTGTTTTATAAGTTGTAGTATCTTTGGAATAGCTGATGACTTTGCTTTATATTGTCCCACAAGATATTTTTTGTGTTGTTTAAAGTAATTTATTTATTTCCTGGGCATAGAGGCACAGGCCTGTGATCCCAGCAACTTGGGAACCTGAGGCAGGAGGATTATAAGTTCAAGGGCAGCCTGGGCAATTTAATGAGACCCCATCTTAAAACAAAAAATAAAAAGGGCTGAAGATGTAGCTCAGTGACATAGTACTCCTGGGTTCAATCCCTTGTACCAAGAATAAATAAATATTTTTTAAAATTTCATATGTATTAATCCTTTATGAATCTCTATGAGATAACTACTAGAATTCTTTCCATTTTGTAGATAAATTAACTGATGTACAGATAGGTTAGATAACTTACCCAAGATCTGATAGTGAAGCACTGAATCAGGATATATTGAATACAATGTCATTTCATGTAGATCATTAAATATGCTGATATTTTGAATAGTGTTCTTTCAAAACAATTTATTGAAGGAAATCTAGCAGATAAAAAATGTTGAATATCCTTAAGAACTGCTATTTCATTGACTCACTTTATAAAAAAGAAATGTTTTTTAAAACTTACAACTTAAGTTTTGCACATTTTGTTGCCAGGATGGCTCCAGAAGTTATCTTAGCTATGGATGAAGGACAGTACGACGGGAAAGTCGATGTTTGGTCACTCGGTATCACCTGTATTGAATTGGGTGAGTGAAGAGGGTTGTTTTGGTTGTATTTTTGAGACTCACTCCTTATGATTGTCAATTAACTCATCCACCTTTTATTTGTTTCATTTTGTTTTTTGTTTTTGTGGTTCTGGGCATTGAACTCAGGATCTCGTAACTACTAGGCAAGTGCTCTACCACTGAATGACTTTTACCAGCCCCTCATCCAGTTATTATTTATTATTTAACTGCTACATGTGTGCCAGGCAATGCATATTTATTATAGATATTTCTGTGCTCTTGTACAACACAGAAGATTGCTTTCTCTTAGCTGCATTTCATGTTACTATTTTAATTAAAAGAATTTGAACAGACATAGGTGTTCACAAAAATGGAAATATAAGACAGTGTGTACTAATATTTGAAAAACATTCATTCTCCATACTATGAGTAACATGTGTCCTGTCTTCACAGTGGTATTCATTACTTTAATTTATACTTCAACTTGAAGAATGAAATCCAAAAAAGTGATAGAAGGCTTCTGAGCCTGTACTCCAAAACTGTATATGACCCACATAGAGAACAAACTTGGAGAAAACTTCATATTAGAAGATATATCAACCATAAAATTGTTCCCCAAAATATTGTTTGTAAAATTATCTAAAATTCCATGGAATCTCTTCTCCAGTTGTATATTTTGAACTTCAATATATCTTGAATTACCTTTATCCAATAGTGAATTTAACAAATTTGCCAACTAGTAAATTTAGCAAACAAATCTCTTGGTGGTGGGATGGGCCTCTGATTTGTAACCCTTGCCAATTCCCCCAGTATAAATATCCCACTGTGGCACTTCCAAGCTACCAGTGTGCTGTTTACTAGGTATGAACTTGAGGAAAGGTATATACAGTTGGCCTTCCAAAGCCAGGATGAGCTGGCTCATAACCCTGACTTTATCTAGATATTTATAGATTTTAAATTAATTTTTTTTTAAGTTTAAGATCAGTTTTTGAAAAGCTCTTTTGTCTGATTTTCTAAATTTAGACTTTGATTTTTTTTTTTTCTTTCCTGGTCTCCAAATTGATCCTGTAAGGATTTTCTGAGTTCCAGTTTGATTCTCGAATTCTGGTTTTCTTTTTCTAAAATGTTTGACCTACAAAGTACATTACCAGTGCTTCATTGACCCCTTTCAACCAAGGAACATAAGATAAGGATGTAGTTTTTTCTGTTTTTCTAACATTAAAGAGATATTAGTGGAAGAAATTCCAAGAGAAAAATTAGAACAGTCACTTAATTTGTTTTAATTAAGTGATAGATTCACATAGTTTTTAAATTAAAAAAACTTCAAGTCCAACAAAATGGTGAGACCCTGTCTCAGAAGATGGAAATTTTTAAATGTATATATATATATAAAACAACATATAATAAAAGTGTATCTTCTTCTTCTATTCCTGGCTCTATCCACGTATTTCCCATCCTCCGGCTCCACCCCATCGACACACAGAGAATCACTATCACTAATTTCTTATGTATCCTTCCAGAGTTTTTTATTAATATACAAATGAATGGGATTCTATGCTTTTTAGGGGGCATGCTGAGGATTGAACCATGACCCCTCAGCTATATCCCCGTCCCAGTATATACTGATTATATTCATTTTCACACCCAAGTTGACATATACATGTGGTTCCATGCTTTGATTTTTTAATTAATAATATCTTGAGGATTTAAAAAATATTACTTAGTGATCTTTTCCATTGTCTTGATGGCATTGTTTTATTCCAGTGTATGGATACATAATAATTTATTTAATTGGTTCCATACTAATAGATATTGACGTTATAGATATCTTTTTTGAATTCTAATATTTTACTAGTCTTTTTCATTGCAGAGGATATTATTAAGAGTAAAGTGTTGATCCAGGTAAAGACTAGTATCCAATAGAATAGGGGGGAAAAAATCTAGAAACAGACTCATATGAGTCAGATTTTAGTATAAGACAGAAAAATCTTTGTAGATCAATGGAGAAAGGGTGGCTCATTTGTTAAACAATACTGATAGATTTTGTTAATTATATGATAAGGACTAAAATTAGATTCCTAGCTATACCATACATTAAAATAAATTCCAGATTTGTTAAATATCCAAAAATAAAAAGTAAAACTTTAAAAGATTTAAGAGAATACCCCTCATGTCTCAGTTTTGAGATCTCTCAAATAAAGATAATAATAACACCTACTTTGTGGGGTTGTTTTGGTGATGGATTAATTAATAAACATAAATAATTAATTGAACTGGTATATAGTAAGCATTTTGTAAATACATTATTACTTTCAATTGCCTTTATAAGTATAGGGAAGAATTTTTCTAAACAATATTTTTAAAACATAATGACAGATTTTAATGACAAGTCATGGACAGAGAGAAGGTAGGTGAAATGGATCTAACCAGCAGAGTGTTGATTCAGAATTTATAAAGAACTTTTACAACTTCTTTACTAAAAAGAAAAAGACCAAACAACCAGAAGGAAAAAGAAAAAAACTGAGTACAGAATTTGATCAAACAATTCTTTGAAGAGGAAACCTAAATGAACAGTGAGCATTGGGAAATGTTCATTCTCATTAATGTTTGGGGAGATCCGAGTTAAAACTATTTTAAATCTCCCAGATTGACAAAAGGTTTTAATTCTGAGAATAATAAATTGGGAGAAGCTGCTAGGGAAACAAGACTTTTTCCTGCCATTGGTAGGAACGACACTGATAAGACCCCTCTGGAATGTCAACTGGTCAGCCACAGCTAGTAAAACTGAGGAGTGGTCTCAATGACCTAATGTTCCACTTCTCATAGTAGACACAGAGAAATATTTTGCAGGTGCATTGGAAAATGTGTACAAAGATGCAGCCCTGTTGGTAGGAGCCAGAAAAGGTGGAGATGACCTAAATTCTTATTCAAAGGAGAATGGATAGATAAATTGTGGCATACTATATCACAGTTAATAATGAACAAGATCTACATGTACCATCATGGATAGATCTAAAATCAGAGTATCTAAAGAACAGAAAATTGAGGAAGTACATATACAGTATCATGTCAATTATGGAGGTTACATAAGTGCTTTTATATGTTGTTAGGATCCTATGAATACTAATAGAGTATAGCATAGATATAAAAGATACAACTCCAGAATAGTAAGTCGGGAGAAAGGAAGGGAAGAGATATCTTTTTTTTTTTTTAAAGAACAAAGATCTGAAACAAAACAAAAAATTATAATTTAATTGTAGGTATCTGTTATAATATTCTACAGATTTTTTATGCTTTACATATTGAGCATTTAAGCTTTTGAAAAATTAGAAATAAAAGCACATCCTTTGTAAGGGAACTATTCTCTGCATAGCAGAGAGTTAGCAGTATAGAATAAGTTTCAGAATTAGACACCCTGGGTTTGAATCTTGGCTTCACCACCACTTAGCTGGCAGGATCGCCAGGTATGGCTGCAACATCATGCCAGCAGGTATTCACATAGTCTAGGATGTAAGTAATACCTCCCGGAGCTACGTGACATGTTGATGCTGGCTGTGGACTATTTTTTTTAACTTCTCTTACCCTCAGTTTTCTCATTTGCTAAGTGGAAATAACAATACGTATGTATTTTCAGGTTTCAAAATAAGTTAAAATAAATATTTAACATAGTGATTGGCACATACCAAATACTGAATAATAGCTAATTATACTCATGTAGATTATTATTTTTTTTTTTGCAATTTAATTTTTAGGAAATACGAATGAACTGAAATTTTACTTATAATACTGAAACCAGAGCAGCAACTCCTTGGTTGATATTTTAAGAGAATGTACCAGCGAGGTTGAACCTCATAGCTAATTAGTGCTCACCCATAGTTTTCGCAAGTGTTTTTCTTACCAAAATCCTTCTGGAATGTAACATGGATTCCATCCTTCTCAACGGGACAAAAACAACAACAAACGCCCTTTTCTGATGATTCAAGATCATCACGTTAGTTTTTACACCCTATAAAGATATAGTAATGACTCATGTTTCACGCATCACTTGACATAAGGCAAACAGGTAGAGATGCCAAGAAACATCTGAAGTCTTCCTCTCTTGCGACAGGCCCTGCCTAGTGCCTGTTTCCTGATTTTATCGTTGTTTAAAAATAATTGAAATATGTGTAATGACATGCTGTCGGCCTAATTTTGATTACCATTTATGAAATGACTTCCCAAATTAAAAGACAAGATGGCCTTCTCCCCAAGGGTTGTTGTCATCTACAGTTAGAAAGACTTTCACATTGAAAGGTGATAGTATCAAATTGTGGTTTTAAAAAACAAAAAAAATGTCTGCAGTTAGATAAACTCATGTTCTAACTCTAGTTCTGACATTTCTTAGTTATGTGATTTGGGTCAAATTATTTTAACTGTCTGTGAAATTTGTATAATAAGATTCCCTACCTTATGGGAATTGTCTGGATTAAATGAAAATATGGATTTCAGGTGCTTTTTATTGTATTATGTGTTCTTAATAAATGTCAGTAATCATCAGCACTATCCTGGGACAATGGTAATTCATCCAAATTTTTAACATCTCTTTAAAATCAGGAGGTAACAAGGGTTGGGGTTAGTTAAAACAATACATTGTATACTTGAAGTTGCTGGGCATAGATCTTAAATTTTCTCACAACTAAAAGTTGTAACTATATGAAATGGTAAATATGTTAATTGTGGTAATCACTTTGCAGTGTAGATGAATATCAAAACATCATTTTATATATACCTTAGAATATTTTAATTAATGTTTTTAGAAATAATGTTTGTCAAAAATCCAATAAAATAAATATAATTTTTTTAAAAAAGCAGGAGAGGGCGGGGGATGTGGCTAAAGCGGTAGTGTGCTCACCTGGCATGCGTGTGGCCCGGGTTCTATCCTCAGCACCACATACAAACAAAGATGTGTCCGTCGAAAACTAAAAAAAAAAAACATAAATTTAAAAAGAAAAAAAAAAAGGCAGGAGATATTTTATAGGCCA